ATCACCACCTACATCACTTACATCACCATCACCACCTACATAAACATCACCATCACATACATCACCATCACTTACATCACTATCACCTCCTACATCACCATCATCACCTACATCACCTACATCACCACCTACATCACCATCTCCACCTACATCACCATAACCTACATCACCATCACCACCTACATCGCCATCACCACCTACATCACCATCACCACCTACATCGCCATCACCACCTACATCACCATCACCACCTACATCACCATCACCTACATCACCATCACTTACATCACCATCACCACCTACATCACCATCACTTACATCACCATCACCTACATCACCATCACCTACATCACCATCACTTAGATCACCATCACCACCTACATCACCATCACTTACATCATCACCACCTACATCACCATCACCACCTACATCATCACCACCTACATCATCACCACCTACATCATCACCACCTACATCACCATCACTTACATCACCATCACCACCTACATCACCACCACCACCTAAATCACCATCACTTACATCACCACCACCTACATCACATCTCCACCTACATCACCATCACTTACATCACCATCACCTACATCACCATCACCACCTACATCGCCATCACCACCTACATCACCATCACACCTACATCACCATCACTTACATCACCACCACCTACATCACCATCACCCACATCACCATCACCTACATCACCATCTACATTGACATCACCACCTACATCACCATCTCCACCTACATCACCATAACCTACATCACCATCACCACCTACATCACCATCACCACCACTTAAATCACCATCACCACCTACATCACCATCACCACCTACATCACCATCACTTACATCACCATCACCACCTACATAACCATCACCATCACTTACATCACTATCACCACCTACATCACCATCACTTACATCACCATCACCACCTACATCACCATCACTTACATCACCATCACCACCTACATCACCACCTACATCACCATCACTTACATCACCATCACCACCTACATCACCATCCCTTACATCTACATCACCATCTACATCACATACATCACCATCACCTACATCACCATCACCTACATCACCATCACCTACATCATCATCACCACCTACATCACCATCACCTACATCACCATCACCATCATCACCTACATCACCATCACCTACATCACCTACATCACCATCACCTACATCACCATCACCTACATCACCATCACCTACATCACCATCACCTACATCACCATCACCTACATCATCACCTACATCATCACCTACATCATCACCTACATCATCACCTACATCACCATCACCTACATCACCATCACCTACATCACCATCACCTACATCACCATCACCTACATCATCACCACCTACATCACCATCACCTACATCACCATCACCTACATCACCATCACCACCTACATCACCATCACCACCACTTAAATCACCATCACCACCTACATCACCATCACCTACATCACCATCACTTACATCACCATCACCACCTACATAACCATCACCATCACTTACATCACTATCACCACCTACATCACCATCACCACCTACATCACCATCACCTACATCACCATCACCTACATCACCATCACACCTACATCACCACCACCTACATCACCATCATCACCATCACCACCTACATCAACATCACCACCTACATCGCCATCACCACCTACATCACCATCACCACCTACATCACCACCACCTACATCACCATCACCTACATCACCATCACCTACATCACCATCACCTACATCACCATCACCTACATCACCATCACCACCTACATCACCATCACTTACATCACCATCACCTACATCACCATCACCTACATCACCATCACTTAGATCACCATCACCACCTACATCACCATCACTTACATCATCACCACCTACATCACCATCACCACCTACATCATCACCACCTACATCATCACCACCTACATCATCACCACCTACATCACCATCACTTACATCACCATCACCACCTACATCACCACCACCACCTAAATCACCATCACTTACATCACCACCACCTACATCACATCTCCACCTACATCACCATCACTTACATCACCATCACCTACATCACCATCACCACCTACATCGCCATCACCACCTACATCGCCATCACCTACATCACCATCACACCTACATCACCATCACTTACATCACCACCACCTACATCACCATCACCCACATCACCATCACCTACATCACCATCTACATTGACATCACCACCTACATCGCCATCACCACCTACATCACCATCACCACCTACATCACCATCACCACCTACATCACCATCACCACCTACATCACCATCACCACCTACATCACCATCACTTACATCACCATCACCTACATCACCATCACCACCTACATCACCATCACCACCTACATCACCATCACCACCTACATCACCATCACCACCTACATCACTTACATCACCACCTACATCACCATCACCACCTACATCACTTACATCACCATCACCACCTACATAAACATCACCATCACATACATCACCATCACTTACATCACTATCACCTCCTACATCACCATCATCACCTACATCACCTACATCACCACCTACATCACCATCTCCACCTACATCACCATAACCTACATCACCATCACCACCTACATCGCCATCACCACCTACATCACCATCACCACCTACATCACCACCACCTACATCACCATCACCTACATCACCATCACCTACATCACCATCACTTACATCACCATCACCACCTACATCACCATCACTTACATCACCATCACCTACATCACCATCACCTACATCACCATCACTTAGATCACCATCACCACCTACATCACCATCACTTACATCATCACCACCTACATCACCATCACCACCTACATCATCACCACCTACATCATCACCACCTACATCATCACCACCTACATCACCATCACTTACATCACCATCACCACCTACATCACCACCACCACCTAAATCACCATCACTTACATCACCACCACCTACATCACATCTCCACCTACATCACCATCACTTACATCACCATCACCTACATCACCATCACCACCTACATCGCCATCACCACCTACATCACCATCACCACCTACATCGCCATCACCTACATCACCATCACACCTACATCACCATCACTTACATCACCACCACCTACATCACCATCACCCACATCACCATCACCTACATCACCATCTACATTGACATCACCACCTACATCGCCATCACCACCTACATCACCATCACCACCTACATCACCATCACCACCTACATCACCATCACCACCTACATCACCATCACCACCTACATCACCATCACTTACATCACCATCACCTACATCACCATCACCACCTACATCACCATCACCACCTACATCACCATCACCACCTACATCACCATCACCACCTACATCACTTACATCACCACCTACATCACCATCACCACCTACATCACTTACATCACCATCACCACCTACATAAACATCACCATCACATACATCACCATCACTTACATCACTATCACCTCCTACATCACCATCATCACCTACATCACCTACATCACCACCTACATCACCATCTCCACCTACATCACCATAACCTACATCACCATCACCACCTACATCACCATCACCACCACTTAAATCACCATCACCACCTACATCACCATCACCACCTACATCACCATCACTTACATCACCATCACCACCTACATAACCATCACCATCACTTACATCACTATCACCACCTACATCACCATCACTTACATCACCATCACCACCTACATCACCATCACTTACATCACCATCACCACCTACATCACCACCTACATCACCATCACTTACATCACCATCACCACCTACATCACCATCCCTTACATCTACATCACCATCTACATCACATACATCACCATCACCTACATCACCATCACCTACATCACCATCACCTACATCACCATCACCTACATCATCATCACCACCTACATCACCATCACCTACATCACCATCACCATCATCACCTACATCACCATCACCTACATCACCTACATCACCATCACCTACATCACCATCACCTACATCACCATCACCTACATCATCACCTACATCATCACCTACATCATCACCTACATCATCACCTACATCATCACCTACATCACCATCACCTACATCACCATCACCTACATCACCATCACCTACATCATCACCACCTACATCACCATCACCTACATCACCATCACCTACATCACCATCACCACCTACATCACCATCACCACCACTTAAATCACCATCACCACCTACATCACCATCACCTACATCACCATCACTTACATCACCATCACCACCTACATAACCATCACCATCACTTACATCACTATCACCACCTACATCACCATCACCACCTACATCACCATCACCTACATCACCATCACCTACATCACCATCACCTACATCACCATCACCTACATCATCACCACCTACATCACTTTCACCACCTACATCACCATCACCACCTACATCACCATCACCTACATCACCATCACCTACATCACCACCTACATCACAATCACCTACATCATCATCACCTACATCACCACCTACATCACCATCACCACCTACATCACCATCACCTACATCATCAGCACCTACATCATCACAACCTACATCACCATCACCTACATCACCATCACCTACATCATCACCACCTACATCACCATCACCTACATCACCATCACCACCTACATCACCATCACTTACATCACCATCATCACCTACATCACCATCACCTACATCACCATCACTTACATCACCATCACCACCTACATCACCATCACCACCATCACCATCACCTACATCACCGTCACCTACATCACTTTCACCACCTACATCACCATCACCACCTACATCACCATCACCACCTACATCACCAACATCACCATCACCTACATCATCATCACCATCATCACTTCTCTCTTTATCCACGACCCGGAGCCCACGGTCCGGTTCCTTCTCGCAGGGATCCGGATCCGCTTTATGCGATCCGATTCCATGGTTTGTGGAGTCGTCAGCCTGTCAGAATCGTCGCGCCCGAGTATGGGAACGCCGTTGTCCGCCGTGGGGTCGCCTTCTCGCGGTTCGTGACGCGAGCGGCGCTTTCCCGTCCACAGCGCCCGCGCCTGCGGTTTCCCGCGGAGCGCGACGGCAACAGCGGTAGCGGGGACAATCCAAACCCCGGATGGAATCGTAGTCGAGTTAAAAATGTGGGCGGAATTGAATCGCGGAGGACGCGAGGAACCGGAAGCCGCCGCGCACCGACTTCGCAGCAATCGATCCTGGCGGATTCAATCTCGCAGCGATGCACGAATTGATTATTAATCACGAATTGATTATTAATCACCACTGGGCGGGGGATTGAACTTTCGCGTTGCGATTGCGGCGCGATTCCTGAATCGATGCAACGGGCCTGGTTCGATGCCATTAATCGATCCGGGGGTCGGGGGGTGACTCTGCCCCGCCCCTCGCGGGTCGCCCACCCCGTGACGTCACCGGCGCGCCTCCACCGCCGCCATCTTGGCGAGGGAGGGAACCGCCGCAAGGGCGACACCGCGACGTTTCGGGCCGCGGGCCTTCTTCGTGAGCGCGCGAATCATCGAGATGAATCCCGAGCGGGCTGGTGGCTATGCACACCTGTGTAATGCAAGCGAGGGTCGATGGATCGCACGCAGATGTTCCGCAACCTGCCTTGCCATGCCTCGCCAAGAGACGGCAGTACAGACAGTGGTCTAATCGCGATCTGTTTCCATCTGTATGGGGGTGGATCGCTGCTGCGCTCGGCGTGGGTTTCCACCCCACGTGAATAATAAACAGATCATTGTGAATTAGCTGAGCACATCTTACAAATAAAAAACCCTATTGTAGCGGCGGCAGGACCCTCCTGAAACAGGGTCACACGGAGTGGCTCCCCTGGATATATGATTATTTAACAATAACATACAACGCCTCCATCACACGCACGCGTTTTCCCACACACACACAGGCGATGCTTTACCCATCCCATCACCCACTCCACAGCCTTCCTGCTGGGAGTGCCTCTTATCAGCGGCACAACTCTGCACCGTTTCGACATTCGAGTTCTCACCAGCGGAGCCAGCCTCTCTTGAACTGGTGAGAACTGCCCAGATGTTCTGCCGGTATTTGGCTGCTATAAATGTCCACATGATGATGATGACGAACCAGCTGTCATTTGTGATGGCCAGGTCGCTTCTGAAAAGAGCTACATAGCTCAGTGGGCCTTACCTGGCAAAATACCAAAACATAGTTAAGGTAAGGACTGCATATTCTTGGGTCTTTTGGTAAAGTCGCGTAGATAGGTTCAAAGAAAATAACAAAAAACTACGACAATTCGATCGCAACACAAGCGTTCGTCAGCAAATGCTTGTGTTGCGATCGAAACGTCGTAGCTTTTAGTTATTTTCTTTGAACCTGCGTTCGACGAAGGTACTCTGCAAACCCACTGGCTATTATCAAAGATTTGTTCATGAAGCCACTTAGATATATAAACATAGACACAACTTCAACCGAGAAGATGGGTACAAATTGAGCAATCATTGGAAGGACGTGATTAACCAGGTAAAGTTTTAACTTGCTATGATGTTTCCATCCTTTCCAGCGATGTTAACCGACTCTGAGTTTCATTACTAGGTTGGATGTCTTTGTATTGACAGGCTGGGTGTCCACCGCCCCAGCCTCTGTGGTTGGACCATCTCTAGCTCCACCAAACTACCTTGATGCACCCATCTCAGGCCTATATAAGACCTTGTCTTAGCAGCTTTCTCTCTCTCTCTCTCACCTGTAGACGATTGCTTGTGTTGCGATCGAACAGTCGTGATCATATTATTTCTTATTAGAGCATGTTGTCATGTTTTGCCACAAGTTGCGTGTGGTTAATGCAGACTTGATGCCTTGCAAAAGGTATCTTACTTGGTGTTCGAACATCTTAACACCCGTTTTATTGTCAGAAAGGATAAAGCCTCTTCTTATTTTAACCTCACTCGGTTGAGCGTTGTAGTTGAGTGGGATACACGCCTCGACTGGCAGCGGACTCACTCCCCGGGGTCTCTCTTGTGAACGCGACTCCGATTGTCTCTCTGTTCTCATCTCGACCACTCAAACTCACCCACTCGAGCATTTAAACCACTCACCTAGCCACTCATCAACCCGCCCAATCACTCACCAACTCAACTCACCCGCCCACTCATCAACCCATCCACCCATCACTCATCCACTCACAAACTCAACTCACCCCACTCACGAACTCACTCACCCATCCATCCACTCACTCCTGCTCCAGCCTGGCCTCGCGAGTTGTCCCACTGGTCACGTAAATCCACCCGGACACTGAGCGCTCGATCCCCAACGAGCGAGGGAGACCTTGTCATGCTAGGTGCTCTGTGCCATGCTAGGTGCACTTTGTCATGCTAGGTGCACTTTGTCATGCTAGGTGCACTTTGTCATGCTATGTGCTCTGTGCCATGCTAGGTGCACTGTGCCATGCTAGGTGTACTGTGCCATGCTAAGTGCACTTTGTCATGCTAGGTGCACTTGACATGCCTGGTACAAATGCCATGCTAGGTGCTGTGTGCCATGCTAGGTGCACTGTGCCATGCTAGGTGCACTGTGTCATGCTAGGTGCACTTTGTCATGCTAGGTGCACTGTGCCATGCTAGGTGCACTGTGCCATGCTAGGTGCACTTTGTCATGCTAGGTGCACTGTGCCATGCTAGGTGCACTGTGCCATGCTAGGTGCACTGTGCCATGCTAGGTGCACTGTGCCATGCTAGGTGCACTTTGCCATGCTAGGTGCACTTTGTCATGCTAGGTGCTCTGTGTCATGCTAGGTGCACTTTGTCATGCTAGGTGCACTTTGTCATGCTAGGTGCACTGTGCCATGCTAGGTGCTCTGTGCCATGCTAGGTGCACTTTGTCATGCTAGGTGCTCTGTGTCATGCTAGGTGCACTTTGTCATGCTAGGTGCACTTTGTCATGCTAGGTGCACTGTGCCATGCTAGGTGCACTTTGCCATGCTAGGTGCACTTTGTCATGCTAGGTGGACTTTGCCATGCTAGGTGCACTGTGCCATGCTAGGTGCACTTTGTCATGCTAGGTGCACTGTGCCATGCTAGGTGCACTGTGCCATGCTAGGTGCACTTTGTCATGCTAGGTGCACTTTGCCATGCTAGGTGCACTTTGTCATGCTAGGTGCTCTGTGTCATGCTAGGTGCACTTTGTCATGCTAGGTGCACTTTGTCATGCTAGGTGCACTGTGCCATGCTAGGTGCACTTTGCCATGCTAGGTGCACTTTGTCATGCTAGGTGCACTTTGCCATGCTAGGTGCACTGTGCCATGCTAGGTGCACTTTGTCATGCTAGGTGCACTGTGCCATGCTAGGTGCACTTTGTCATGCTAGGTGCACTGTGCCATGCTAGGTGCTGTGTGCCATGCTAGGTGCACTGTGCCATGCTAGGTGCACTTTGTCATGCTAGGTGCACTGTGCCATGCTAGGTGCACTGTGCCATGCTAGGTGCACTGTGCCATGCTAGGTGCTGTGTGCCATGCTAGGTGCACTGTGCCATGCTAGGTGGACTGTGCCATGCTAGGTGCACTTTGCCATGCTAGGTGCACTGTGCCATGATAGGTGCACTGTGCCATGCTAGGTGCACTGTGCCATGCTAGGTGCACTTTGTCATGCTAGGTGCACTGTGCCATGCTAGGTGCACTTTGTCATGCTAGGTGCTCTGTGCCATGCTAGGTGCACTTTGCCATGCTAGGTGCACTGTGCCATGCTAGGTGCACTTTGTCATGCTAGGTGCACTGTGCCATGCTAGGTGCACTGTGCCATGCTAGGTGCACTTTGCCATCCTAGGTGCTCTGTGCCATGCTAGGTGCACTGTGCCATGCTAGGTGCACTTTGTCATGCTAGGTGCACTTTGCCATGCTAGGTGCTCTGTGCCATGCTAGGTGCACTTTGTCATGCTAGGTGCTCTGTGCCATGCTAGGTGCACTTTGTCATGCTAGGTGCTCTGTGCCATGCTAGGTGCACTTTGTCATGCTAGGTGCACTGTGCCATGCTAGGTGCACTTTGTCATGCTAGGTGCTCTGTGCCATGCTAGGTGCACTTTGTCATGCTAGGTGCACTTTGTCATGCTAGGTGCACTGTGCCATGCTAGGTGCTCTGTGCCATGCTAGGTGCACTGTGCCATGCTAGGTGCACTGTGCCATGCCGGGTGGGCGCCACTCCACTGCCCCCGTTCACAGTGCGCGCGGCCTGGGGCAACAGAGTGTCTCCCACCGAGCGCGGGAAAAGTGCACCTAGCATGGCACGAGCGCTGTTGTCTCCCTACCCAACATGGCGACACGGGGGTCGCACGCCCCCCGCCCCCAGCCGGCCCCCGTCCCGTCCTGCAGCTCGCATGGCGGGCGGGCGAGCCGAGGAGGAGCTCAGAGCCGGGGCGGCCATGGCGGGCGGTGCGGTGAAGGGGATCTTCAGGCAGGCGCTCAGAACCTTCAGCAGGCCCTCGGGGGCCCGGGGTTCGGACCCCGCGGCCTTCGCCGAGAACCTTGCGGCCCTGCGCGCCCTCCTGGACGCGGTGCGGCCCGAGGATGTGAACGTGGCGCCCAGGAAGGGAGAAGGGGTTGAGGAGGACGAGGAGGGAGCTGGGTACTCGATGTCCGGGGGGTTCGGGCCACCCCCCGTGAGCTACATGGAGATCGCCGAGGGGGTTCACTTCTCCATGGGGATCTTCGTGCTGCGGGCGGGGGCCTCGATCCCGCTGCACGACCACCCCGGCATGCACGGCCTCCTCAAGGTCCTCTACGGGGAACTGCGGCTCAGCGAGTGGGACCGGGGACCCCCACGGGATGCCGCGGGGAGCCGCGTCGGGGACCCCGGGCCCCCCGAGTTCAAGGTGACGACCGCGCGGGTCACCGCGGGTCACGGCGGGTCACGGGGGGCCAAGAGGGGGGCCAGGAGGGGGGCCACCTGGCCCCGAGGCGGCTCACGGAGGGGGTTCGCGGGTGAGGGAGTAAGGGGGCCTTGAGAGCAGTGATAGAGGCTGTGAGTGGGCTCCTGCCGGGGTTGAGCGGCAGTGGGGAGGGGAGTCAAGGGACGGGGTGAGGGAGGTGAGTGGGCTGGGGAGGTGAGTGGGCTGGGAGGTGAGTGGGCGGGGGAGGTGAGTGGGCTGGGGAGGTGAGTGGGCTGGGGAGGTGAGTGGGCTGGGGAGGTGAGTGGGCTGGGGAGGTGAGTGGGCTGGGGAGGTGAGTGGGCTGGGGAGGTGAGTGGGCTGGGGAGGTGAGTGGGCTGGGGAGGTGAGTGTGTGGGGGAGGTGAGTGTGTGGGGGAGGTGAGGGAGGTGAGTGAGTGGGTGAGGGAGGTGAGGGAGGTGAGTGGGTGAGGGAGGTGAGTGGGTGAGGGAGGTGAGTGGGTGAGGGAGGTGAGTGGGTGAGGGAGGTGAGTGGGTGAGGGAGGTGAGGGAGGTGAGTGTGAGGGAGATGAGTGTGTGAGGGAGGTGAGTGGGTGAGGTGTGTGAGGGAGATGAGTGGGTGAGGTGAGTGTGTGAGGGAGGTGAGTGGGTGAGGGAGGTGAGTGTGTGAGGGAGGTGAGTGGGTGAGGGAGGTGAGTGTGTGAGGGAGGTGAGTGGGTGAGGGAGGTGAGTGTGTGAGGGAGGTGAGTGGGTGAGGGAGGTGAGTGGGTGAGGGAGGTGAGTGGGTGTGTGAGGTGAGTGTGTGAGGGAGGTGAGTGGGTGAGGGGGGTGAGTGGGTGAGGGAGGTGAGTGGGTGAGGGAGGTGAGTGGGTGAGGGAGGTGAATGTGTGAGGGAGGTGAGTGGGTGGGGGAGGGAGGTGAGTGTGTGAGGGAGGTGAGTGTGTGAGGGAGGTGAGTGGGTGAGGGAGGTGAGTGTGAGGGAGGGAGGTGAGTGTGAGGGAGGGAGGTGAGTGTGTGTGTGAGGTGAGGGAGGGAGGTGAGTGGGTGAGAGGGTGAGTGGGTGAGGGAGGTGAGTGGGTGAGGAAGGTGAGTGGGTGAGGGAGGTGAGTGTGTGAGGGAGGTGAGTGGGTGAGGGTGGTGAGTGGGTGAGGAAGGTGAGTGTGTGAGGGAGGTGAGTGGGTGAGGGTGGTGAGTGGGTGAGGAAGGTGAGTGGGTGAGGGAGGTGAGTGTGTGAGGGTGGTGAGTGGGTGAGGGAGGTGAGTGTGTGAGGGAGGTGAGTGGGTGAGGGAGGTGAGTGTGTGAGGGAGGTGTGTGAGGGAGGTGAGGGAGGGAGGTGAGTGGGTGAGAGAGGTGAGTGGGTGAGGGAGGTGAGTGTGTGAGGGAGGTGGGTGGGTGAGGAGGTGAGTGGGTGAGGGAGGTGAGGGAGGGAGGTGAGTGTGTGAGGGAGGTGAGTGGGTGAAGGAGGTGAGTGGGTGAGGGAGGTGAGTGGGTGAGGGAGGTGAGTGGGTGAGGGAGGTGAGTGTGTGAGGGAGGTGAGTGTGCGAGGGAGGTGAGTGTGCGAGGGAGGTGAGTGGGTGAGGGAGGTGAGTGGGTGAGGGAGGTGAGTGGGTGAGGGAGGTGAGTGGGTGAGGGAGGTGAGTGGGTGAGGGAGGTGAGTGTGTGAGGGAGGTGAGTGGGTGAGGGAGGTGTGTGAGGGAGGTGAGTGTGTGAGGGAGGTGTGTGAGGAGGTGAGTGGGTGAGGGAGGTGAGTAGGTGAGGGAGGTGTGTGAGGGAGGTGAGTGGGTGAGGGAGGTGAGTGGGTGAGGGAGGTGAGTGGGTGAGGGAGGGAAGGTGAGGGAGGTGAGTGTGTGAGGGAGGTGAGTGGGTGAGGGAGGTGAGTGGGTGAGGGAGGGAAGGTGAGGGAGGTGAGTGGGTCAGGGAGGTGAGTGGGTGAGGGAGGTAAAGTGTGTGAGGGAGGTGAGTTGGTGAGGGATGGAGTTGAATGGGTAAGTGAGCCACGGGACGATTCGTGGTAGATACCCGGAATGCTGTCAGAGAATGATGGAGCCCCAGAGTTTGAGACAGACTCGCACAGAGACCCCTGGACCAGCACAGATACCCAGACCCATACAGAGATACCCAGACCCATACAGAGATACCCAGACTCGCAACAAAGACCCATAAGCGAGTGATTGGTGTCTTGGTTTATGGTGACTTTCATTCAAGTCCGTTCTGTGTAACCCGGTAAGAATTCGAGAAACCAGGATAGGAGTCGCATTCGCAAGTGACCCGGGTCACCACAATGACAAAAGAAAAACAAAGTGCAGCAATCGGTGACATCTGTTTGTGCGGCGCTGTGACTCAATGAGACTTCACCCCTCGCGCTGTGCCCGCTCCTCACAGCCCCCGCTGCGCGCGTGGCAGCGGCCCCTCGTGCGAGCTTCGCGCTACCGCGGGCAGCAGCGCCTCTCCCCGCTGGCGCCCTGCCGCCTGCTCACGCCGCACCACGGCAACCTCCACCGCGTGGACGCCGTCGGCGGCCCGGCCGCCTTCCTCGACATCCTCGCGCCCCCCTACTCCCCGGACACGGGCCGCGACTGCCACTACTACCGCCCACTCGTGCCGGCCACCGCCACGCCGGGGCACGGCCTCCTCCCGCAGTCCACCGCGCCGCTCCACCACCTCCACCGTGATCATGGCGGCAACGACGACGACCATGGTGGTGATGATGGTGTGGGGGAGCCCTGCTGGTTGCTGGAGATTCCGCAGCCAGCTGAGTTTTGGTGCGGATCGCAGGATTATCCGGGCCCGCCGGTCATATAGGCTCACCGAGGATCGGCAGTGATAGGACTCTGTGAGATGGCGACGATGGTGATAATGAATTAAGGTTAGATGTCGTGATTTTTGAGTTGCCATTGGCTGAGTGGAGAATCGACATTGGAGTTAATCTGTACAGGAATTATTAGTTATCAGTGTGTGTGTACTACAGGGTTCTGCGTAGAAGTAGGGCCCACGTCTAACAGAGAGGGTCCGTGCCTATAAACATCCTGCAGATCACCAGCGTTGATTCAAGCAAGCCTGGCTCTGCTGATGAGACACTGCATTTCGAAACCGGTCCAGTTTGCTTGAACTGAATCAATGCTTCCAAATTGTAATACACTTGCAGAATCTCGTGTAGAATCTACAGATCTATAACTAAACACACATGAATCAGAATAATCAAGTGTGACATATATTTTGAATTAACCCGAAACCATTTCTTTATCATTATTGCCCTTGTAATTAATTAGCACTTATTTATCTCTGTAAATGTACATAAATTAGCGTGCGAGGTGTAGAGTGGTGGGGCAGTGGTTTTCAAACTGCACTGTGAACCCGGTGACCCGAGTTTGATTCCCGCTCATGACGAATGAGTGGCAGTCCTGGGCCTCCCCTAGGTCAACTCGTCATCAAATAATTACCTGGTGCGGTGTATAAACATCACCACTGAGAAGACAAAGGCAGCCGGGCCACCCACCCCCTCGTGTGCCATGCTGGCCTTAATGGGTGCTCTCCTAACAGCACTTGCCCTAACAGCGAGTTAAATACTTTGGGGGTCTTTGATAAGTGTGAGTATGGCTGTGTACGCTATTTAACATCTTCTGTGACCAAATAGTTCCAGACGCTTTACATGCGTGTACCAGAGGAATTTCCATAAGGTACAGATACAATGGGAGGCTGATCGATGCCCAGGTGTAATCAACCATGTTAATGTATGCTGATGAACTGGTAATTGTGATTGACTTGTTGGAAGTTGGACGCTCTGCTGCTGAACCTGGAGCGTGCTACTAAAAGGTGGGGGGCATTGCCATCAGCCCCACAAAGACAAAGCACCTTCCTGGGTATTTTGTTTCGTCAAACACTCCACCTACTCCACTCTCCGTGATGGGGCAGTTGTGGAAACGTTTTCATACAGTGTGCTTATGACTAATTCTGGTGTTGCAGCAGAGATCTTGCTACACATCCGTTGAGCGACATTGTCTTTTCATTAGCTGTGTAACATTGTGTGGAATCAACCTGGTATATCACTCCACACTTAGCTGCAGGTCTTCTCAGACAGTTATGCCCTCCCTTCTCTATGGTTGCAAAACATGGATCCCTTTGAATAAACATCTGTGCCAGTTACAAACATTCAGGCTGGCCTGCCGATGATCTATCCTGGGTTTAAGCACACTGGATTGTGCGAGTTCACAGATCCTTGAAAGATCTGGTCAGTCCTGTCAGTGAGCTCCGATAGGCAAGGCTGCCTTGGCTGGGTCACGTAGCCTCCATGCCCAGCCACCACATGCCCAAATAGCTTGTTTGGCCAGATGAGGGGGCTGATGCTGTACTGGATATACAGTTGAGTGGATTTGCCGATGATTGGTACCAGTAGTGTCAAGATCAGCCTCTGTGGAGGAGGTTCGTGAATGACGCTACTGGGGAGTTGGAAGCAATCGCCCTCCAAGAACAAAGGAGCAACGATCACAACGAGCGACACGCCAGGCAGTTAAAACTCAGCAAGTTGGCACAGTAGGTGGCACAGGTGGTGCATCTGCCAGTCATCTGTCAACCCATGGCACCCGGGACTTCCTGGAGACCTACCACCGAGCCTTCAATACCTTGGTAGCCTCAAGGTACACCTAGCCTGGCACAACCGCTATGGTGATGTCACTGCTACTTGGTGGGGAATGGCGACTACTGCTACGGTTCTCCGCTAACCAAACACTCGCACATCAGCGTGACCTTGCCGGGGAAGGTGATGTGCGCGGCGACTGGATGCCCAAACTTCCACGAGCTCCCAACACGTGCAAAGAAACGTCGGACATCGCAACAGACACCGGAGGAGGAACGGCCTGTACGCCCGATGACCTCGTCGTAGCACCAGCATTCTAGCCACGACACCCGTGCATCCACCTCGTCCCTCAGCACATCATCTCCCGCGAGGACACAACGGAAGCGTTCTGGTCAGACTCTCCTGGCTTCTCCGTCTCACCGCATCACGATGGCCGTGTCCAGAGACACGTTTGACGCCGACCGCAACCACAATAAAATCTGGAGAGAACTCGATGAGTGTCAGTGTTTATTCTGGTGCGGTGACAGCGTGTGGCGGGGGGGGGGACCGCCCCATGATGGTTGATGTGTGGCTGTGCGGTAATTTTGGGGTGTTGTGTGGTTGCCACAGTGACAATGGTGTGGGTGTTGTGTGGTTGTCATGGAGACATTGGGGTGATGTGCGATTATCATGGTGACAACAGGGTGTGTGCACTTTCTCTGGTCACAGTGACGTCTCGGTGTTGTGCACGTGCCACGGTGACGGGGTGCTGCATGGCTATCACAGACACAGTGGGTCGTGTGTGGGTGTTGCTTGGTTGCCATGGTGTATGAGCATGGTTGTCATGAAGGCGTCAGGGTGCCATCTTCTCCTCTTCCTCCTCGCCTTGTGGTTGCGGTGCTTGTTGCAATGGTTGTTGCGGTTGTTTTTGTTTGAGTGAGGCGACCTCCGCCTCAAGCTGCAGCACCGCGCGCTCAATCTCATAATTCTTGCTCACCAGGGTCGCCCACCTGCACCACCACAACAACACCATCAGCAAGAACTACCATCAGTAACCACCGTCAGCAACAACCACCACAACCAATGGCGGAGCCAGGATTTTCAGGTAGAGGGAACAACCCCTCCAGCAATGAAAAATGATAGGAGTTGTTAGTAAGTAAGGACTTGTCCCTTGCTTTTTATTCGACGCGTTTGCGGTGATGGCACAGCCGTCGATCGAGGGTCGAATTCGAACCGCGTTGTGTGATCGGCATCGCGCTCGCTGAAGGTGAATGCCTTCAAGGAAGTCCTGTACTGTATACGCAACTGCGCACAATTTTTTGAGTCACTTATAACTGCTTTGCTGTTATTGCCAATTATGGACTCAGACTATTGTCCTATCATCTCAGAGTCCCTGGCACGCAATATGCTACACAGTGGCAGTGGGGGTCGCAAAATGCCGATTTATTACTAATAAACCCCAATGATCCGATCGAAATTAGGGATTTCGATCGGATCATTGGGGGGGCACGTGCCACCCCACCCCCCCCAACTGGCTCCGCCAGTGACCACAACCACTGTCGGCAACAACAAGAAGCCACAGCACAACCACCTCAAGCATAACCATCAGATGTGTGAGATGTGGTAAAGATGGCTTGTGGTGTGGGTGTGGTGAGGATATGGTGAGTTGTGGTGAGAGTGTGGTGATGGGCAAGTTGTACTGTGTCTCCATTCTCCGTAGCTCCACCCCAGTGCTCAGCTGCTCGCTCTTGCGTTGCCAGTTTATGTCCTGGATGTCCTTCCTGCTCACACGCATGGGTTCATGAACACACAGTCACTCAAAGATCCCCCGTGTAGCCTACACTGACTGTTGGGGCAAGTGCTGTTCATGAGTACCTATCAAGGACACGGCACACAAAGGGGTGGGTGACCAGCACCACGCTCGGCCGCCTTTGTCTCCCCAGTGGAAATGTTTACACCACACCAGGTACTCATTTGAGGCCAAGTCGATTTAGGGAATGCCCAGGACCGATTCAGATAATCGAGAGTGAGAATCTAACTCGGGTCGTAGGGTTCGTAGCGCAGCGCACTACCTGCGACAGCACTATCCGCTACCTACACACACACAGGTGTAAACGCACGCGATGTAAATGTGTTACCCTAACTACTGACCTCAGTTTCTGCAGCTCCTTCTGTGCTTGCTCAGCCATTTGAGACAGAAACCTAAAACACACCAGACACCCCAGCATGTACCACACACTGCACACCCAAGTCACATCCCAGTCACACCCCTTGTACACATACCAGACCGTGTACACACACCACACACCTCGTGCACACACCCCACTTCGTCCTGTACTGCACGTGCATACTATGCGAGTGCTGCGTATACTGCGTGAGTGCGCTACACGTTGGGGCCGTGTGTACTGTGTACTGCATTTATATACTGTGTATCTTATGTGTGTACTAAGTAATGCGTGTGCATATACTGCGTGCGTGTCCAGTTTATATACTGCATGCGTACTGCATGCGCACTATGCGTTGGTGCCGTGTGCGTACTGCGTGCATACTGTGTGTGTACTGCACGCGTATTGCGTGTGCGCGCCACGTGTTGGTGCCATGCTTACTGTGTATGTGTACTGCATTCATACTGTGTAATGCATACGAACTGCGTGTACCGTATACTGTGTACATGCACTGTGAGCGTACTGCGTGTGCGCGCGCCACGCGTTAGTGCCGTGCGAGCCGAGCAGCGTGAGGTTGAGGATCCGCTCGGCCTGGTGCTCCAGCTGTGCGCACGAGTTGGCGACGCTGTCCTGCCACGCCGACACATCATTCCGCTGGCCCGCCAGGGGCTGGGGCAGCTCGTACCTGGAACACGCGGGGACATGCGGGGACATACGGGGACGTGTGGGAATACACGTGCGGACACGTTGGGATAAGTGGGGACACGCGCAGGGACACACGCGGGAATACACACAGGGACACGTGGGGGGAGCCACAGATACATGGGGACTCAAAGAGAACGGTGGTGATGGTGTTGATGGTGGTGGTGATGATGGTGTTGATGGTGGTGGTGATGAAGGCGATGATGGTCATGATGATAATGACGGTCATGATGATGATGATGGTGGTTATGGTGATCATAATGGTACTGTGATGGTGTTGTTGACGATGGTATTGATGATGGTATTGATGATGGCGTTGATTATGGCGTTGATTATGGCGTTGATTATGGCGTTGATGAAGTCACCTCTTCATGCTCAGAAGCTCCATGGGTTGTCGGGCAGCCAGACGCTCAAACTCATTCCGCATGATCTCCGTCTACTCGCCATCACACACCACATCCCACAACACACCATCACACACCACCAACAACCACTGCCTTTTGCCACTAAGTGGCAGTGACGCCATCACGATGCTTGTGCCAAGCTAGGTACACCTCGAGGCCACGTGAAGTGTTGAAGGCCCGCTGACAGGTCATGGGATCGACCCAGGTGACTGAGATGACTGTCAGATGCACCACCTGTGCTCCCCACTGTGCCAACTTGCTAAGTTTTAGCCACTCGACGCTCCGCTCGTGAGCGTCACTCCTCTGCCCTCTGCTGTTGCTGGAGGGTGACTGCCTTCAAATGCCCAGTACCATCCTTCACGAGCCTCCTCCGCAGAGGGCAATTTTGACACTGCTGGTACCAGTCATCGGCAATTCCACTCAACTCTACATCCTCCAGTACCGCATCAGCCCATCTCTTTTTCTAGCCCGTGCCATGCTCGATTAGTGCCCCTCTATCTGGCCAATCAGAATCCGCTTGGGCATGTGGTGGGCTGGGCATGTAGGCTACATTTCCCAGCCAACGCAACCTCGCCTGCTGGAGGAACTCACTTATGGATTGTGTTCAGATCTTTCAAGGATCTGTGAGCTCATTACCCAATTCAGTCCGATTGAAACCAAGGTGGACCGTAGACAGGCCAGCCTGAATGTTTCAAAATGGCACAGATGTTCTTTCAACGCATAGAGAAAGGGGACAAAGACCCAAAAGCCTTGTATGGCATGACAGGCCAGGTTTCTTCCACAGTGTTACGCAGTTGATGAAAATATAATGCCGCTCGACTGATTCAGAGCGAGACCTATGCTGCCAAACCGGAACTGGTCATAAGCAACTACCCCATCACTCATGGAGAGCTGATAGTGTGGAGTATTTTATAAGCAGGTGCTTTGTTTCGGTGGGGCTGATGGTAAGGCCAACAGTGGCTCTGGACGTGTGTGAGGGTCTAGTAACCCCTCCGCCTTCAAGGAAATGACCAAAGGATCAAACCAAGCTTGTGCATGTGGCCTCAGGGGGGCCGGCACCTTTCACATCTCTTGGCTGAACCTAGTTTAGCGGTGTCAGAAGACTGAACCCCCCTGCCCCCTCCCTTGGGGTTCCTCCAAAAACAGCAGCGAACAACTGCAGGTAGCCATGTGGAATGTTCAAACACATCATATACCATACAATAATCACCATTAAGTGGCGGTGACGTTACCACGGTGCCCGGGCCAGGCTAGGTGCACTTTGAGGCCACGTGAAGTATCAAGTTAACTGAGATGACTGACAGATGCCACACACACACCGTAACCACGACAGACATCACGTTGCGCGTACAAGAACACACTAAAAAGTGTTTCATGTAGCTGCTGCTCTAAAGTGTTGGAAACAACTGGTGTCTTCTCTCGGGATCACCACAATACAAACAAGTGTGAATGGACTAGGGACGTGCGGTCAGGGAAGGCAGGGCCTCACATGTCATACTCCAATGAAAATAGCTGTTACGAAAAGTAAAAAAAAATGCAGATTTTTTCCACTGATCTGTGTTATAAATGTCATTTCTGTACGATTCCAATCATTTTCATAGTCAAAATCGCCAAATTTGTGGAGCTCCGCTGCAAATACAGGAAGAGACGAGAAGTGAGGCAGCGACGAGCTCAGCCTCCCCTCTGATTGCACAACCCCTCAGTAACTGGATGGAGCGCGGGCAATAAGCGCGTGCCTGTTACTATCTCTCTGTGTGTCACCAATGTAATGTTTGTAGACCGCTTCATTTCATGTCCTCGCCTTCCATACTCCAGGTAACTTATTTCACGAATGTGTATAAAGATATTTAGGCTCGCTGGTCTCGTCATGAAACTGCAATGAAAAAGCACCAGGGGAGGCAGCTATGACATCTGCCTCACTGAGGACGTGTCGAACACGCCCCCCTCAGTGAGGGCATGCCCCCCTCAGTGAGGCCACGCCCCTCAGTGAGGCCACGCCCCCTCCGTGAGGCCACGCCCCCTTCAGTGTGTGAATTTGGCTCTGACACTAGCCAGTGCCTCCTCAGCCATTGACCTGGCCGCACGTCACTGGAATGGACATACAGTCGTCCCTCGGTTAACAGTGACATCAGTTACTCGAAGGATCTTGAATGCCTTACTAGCGGTGTTTATAAGGGAGTGCAAGCTTCACTATTTTCTCCTGGCTTTTACTTAAACATTGTCTTACATTTTATTTTAGTATACAATCTTTTGATACCCCCTTCAGTGGAGGTGATATTACATTTAAAATGAATACGGTTTCGGTTTATGGTTTTTTGGTGAACATTTCGCCTCCCATAGGACCTCCCATGGTTTCAACTGACGTTAAAATGTTGACTCACGTTATGTTTACGTTATGCACCGGGCGTCAATTTCGGCCAATCCGAGCACTTGTAAGTGGGGCTGAGGCATGCTGTCAGCCAACAAGCGACACCCATTTATGAGCATTTAAACTTTGACTGGCTTTGCTTACATTATGTTTTCTTTTCTGGCAGTGGAAACAGCTCTCTTGCAGACTCAGTGATTTTTACTTATTTTTCAACTTATACATTAATTCGATTAACAGTTATTTCAGTTAACAGTAGTTTTCGTGGAACGGATTAAACCGTTAACCGAGGGACTATTGCAAGTGATTTGTAACATCCTGTTATAATTACTTTATTGTATCTTTTTAGTATTTGATATGTTTATTTATTAATTTGTAACACTTGCTGCTGTCGGGTCTTTGCTGGCCGAGTCACCCTTGAAAAAGAGCGGTAGAACTCAATCGGTAATTTACTCTGGTAATTGACTTCTGAGTCTGCTCGACATTGTGTTGTGTGGTGACTTGCGTGTAGTGTTGTGAGTGATGGTGGTGTGGCGAGGTGTGTGTGGTCATTGGAGGTATCACCTCGAATGCGCTCAGCTCAGGAGGAGGGAGGCAGCTCAAGTAGTTCTTGGTCGGGCGGTATCGCCGTGTCTCCTCCTCCACGAGCGCAGCGGCCTGCGACAGGACCGCACACGCCGCATCAATACTCCGAACACCGCACACACTACACACACACACCACGTCAATACACACCACATCAATACTAACTACCACCACCGCGTTAATACTCGCCACACACATCACGTTAATACTCACCACACACACAACGCCACTCACCATACACACCGCACAGACACCAAGTCAATACTAACCACACATCACGTCAATACACACCGCACACAAATCACGTCAATACTCATCACACACATCACGTTAATACACACCACATCAATACTCACCACACACACTGCACACATACCACGTCAATACTCACCACACACATCACGTCAATACTCACCACACACACCGCAATACTCACCACACACACCGCAAACACACCGCGTCAATACTTACCACACAGACCACCACACACACACCACGCCAATACTCACCATACACAGCACACATACACACCACGTCAATAGACACCACACGCACCAAAGATCGCCTTAACAGACTGTAGGGGCGAGTGTTGTTAGCGAGCACCTATGAAGGCCGGAACGGTACACGAGGGGTGGGTGGCCAGCACCACGCCCGACTGCCTTAGTCTCCCCAGTGGCGATGTTTTTATCCACCGCACCAGGTACTCATTTGAGGCTGAGTCGACCTATCGGAGGCCCGGGACCGGCTCAGATAATCGTCACTGGTGTTGGCCGTGAGCGGGAATCGAACCCGTGTCGCCGGGTTCATAGCGCAGCGCGCTAACCGCTACACTACCGCTCACACACACCTCACAAAAACCAGACCCATCACACCCACCCCCCCCAGCCTCACCGCCTCGCGGACGCCCGGCGCGTCGTAGCCCTGGTCGAAGTAGGGCAGCGCGTCCACCACCACCTCCCCCGCCATGACGAAGACACCCGGGGGACACGCAGGGACAACGCGGAGAGACGCGGAGAGAGGCGGGGACACGCGGAGAGACGCGGGGACACGCGGCTATAGAGACACAGAGACGGAGATTCTAGAACACGCCGGAGTGGTTGCACGCGCGGAGAAGCAGCTCCGGGTTAAAGGTGGCGACTCCGGCTTCCGGTTCCTGTTTCCCACAGCGGAACCCCCCCCCTGGACCCGCAGCAACCGTTGCTATGGGATGCCCCACGGGGCCCCAACAACGGTTGCTAGGGGAAGCTTGCAGTCGAAATCAAAACTGAGTTCGTCGTCTCGACATTGAGGGAAGCTATCTTAGAAACGCCAGAAACAGTCGGCCCTGACAGCTCCTTTGCCTTGTTTCAGAACGTTTTTATTATCATTGCATTACTGCTGGATGTATACTACACGGCAAATCCATGGATTAGTGTATGCAGTATCAGAATCATTCTATTTACACTGGAGGAATCCGATGAGCTTTAAAGCCCTTTTTGACATGTCCAGTGGCGGCACGGGGTCAGAATGTTACAACAACAAACAATATAAAACACGATAGGAGTGCAAAGTATAGGAAGGTTAACAAATCGCTTTTAAATATATATACAAATCAGACTAAACTATATTTTAGAATCTTAACAGGTAAAGCCCACTGAGCTAATAACTTATTTTTCAGAAGCAACCTGGCCTCAAATGATAGTGCAACGATGTGGCTTATCATGTGGACATGTATACATAAAAAATACACGTCCACTGAAGGTTCCGAATATGTTGTGGTACCCAAATGTTTGTGTTTATTTGGGGTACTTACATATACGCGCTGGCCTTCACATATTAATTCAACCGATTGTGCATCCAAAAATATAAAACTAGCGGGAAGTACCCGGCGTTGCCCGAGCGACAAATATATTTCAAAACTTATCTTAAAAACCTTACATCTACATACACAGATACTAAGCTATTGTGAAAGCCCGGTGGACCATTTGTCCATTTCTCCACCAACAAAATTCTAAGAGACTTGCAGAAATCCCCGCGTAGGTATATATACCTACACACCTACATACAACAGAGTAAGTAGTATCGATTGACTCTGCAGTTGTATCTACTGACTGTACAGTAGTATCTACTGAGCCAGTAGTAGCTACTGACTGTATAGTAGTATTTACTGACTGAGTAAACTACTGACCGTAGTAGTATTGTGGTCCCATAGCAGCGAAGCCGCTCCGTCGGAGCCGTGCCTGCAACGCCACCACGGGAGAGCGTCCGGGCCGACGCTACTCCTCCCTCACCACCCCCCACATGAGCACACACAACACACACTACACACACACTACACACAACACATACACCTCCCACGTAGGACCTCGTGGAAATGTCACCTGGCCTCCAGGTTTTCACCTCTTCGTAAGGACATCCCCCACGGTTTCCTGGGGCCAGGGAATTGGCCGACTTCCCCCAGGTTGAATTACACCGCGGAGCCGTGAATTGACGTGCAATTGCATGGTCACGACGAGGCTACTCAGTCGCCGCAGTTAGGTCCACACGAGCACCAGGGGAAGCATCTGATTGGCCGGAAAAGTACGATTGCACGCTGTGGCCAATGGCAACGGCCCAGCGGCGGCCCCTGTTGATGGGTAGAGAGGGAAGCGGACCTCTGTGAAGGCACCGAGGCGGGCGCACCAATGGCGGTGGGGTATCGCGGGTTAGCCGGGCAGACCTTTGATGTAGGGAAGGATAAAATGGGAGGGGAGAGCGACGATGGGAGTTCGCGTTCTCCTCAAGACAGCCATCTGAGCAGTCAGCTTGCCGGCCACTGGGTCGTCCGTGTGACGAGTCTCAGCGAAGCCAGGCCCCGCTCCCAGCAAGAACCTCGTGCAGCCTCGTCTCTCCGCGATGGCCCACGCATCTGAGGCAAACCGTGAGTACGAAAGGGAGAGTTGGGATTTAAGCGTAAAAGCCTAGGGAGGTTAATTCAAAATAGACGGGACAGATTGGTTCTGAGACCGTCGGGAATAGATTAGTTATTCTACTAATATTGACTCCGGGCTACGTGATATTTAGCCTCGGACTCGCTGAGAATAAACTGTTGGTGATCAATAAACCTTGTCGTGTGGTTTCTGCGAGTGTGGAACGGGTGCATGGTGGTGTGAGTCCGCTCGTCGTTGTACAGGGATTTGCACGCGGGTAACTGTTGAGGCGGCCATTGTGTGCACGCCCGACCGGGGTTCCTGCGTCGTTGTACCCTGTGTTTGCGCGCGTGTGCGTATGGACCCACGTGTTTGCGCTCGCCCATGCGTGAAGCTCATGGTTAGCGTGTGCGTGTGGTGAGTGGCGGCGGACTCGTACAGGGGCACGTGAGATTACTCATATGCCCTTTTGTTTAAGGTGTGCGTGAGGCAAACGGGTGGCGTACACGCGAGATTATTCGTGCGTCCTTTGTTTGGCGTGTGCGTGAGATGAACGGGCGGCGTACACGCGAGATTATCCATACGGCCTTTGTTTAGCGTGTGCCCGCGGTGAGCAACGGTAGACTCGTCCGGGTGCACGTGGGATTATTCATACAGCCCTTTAAACAATCTCCGAGACACCCCCTCCAATCGGCTACGCGTGTACGAGTGATGTCACTGCCCTTTGACCCCTGCCCCTCCCTATCCTTCGGAAATCCTAGGCTCAATTCACCCTGCCTACCGCTCCGTTCCCCACTCTTGATTAAATCTCTCAAACTCACTTCTCTCTCACTTGTGCTTACTTCCACTCTGCTGCGCTGAACGCTGTAGAAGGACGAGGCTGTGAGTCGTCTCCGTAGAGGGTTGAGCCTGTCTGCGCTGGAGCTCGTCACACGGAGGTCTCGAACGGCTGACTCTCCTGCTCCGTGGACCGCAATGATTTTCAGAAGAAGTCCCTCTTGCTACGCTAAGCCTCCATATTTTATCCACCCAAAAGGCATTCAGATGCTTCCGCACCCGCGCCTGCCCTGTCCATTCAGAGGACGAGTTATTCACGTCTCTTTCACATTCGGATCCGTGACCTTATCTAAAACAAAAGGCATTCAGATGCTTCCGCACCCACGCCTGCCCTGTCCATTCAGAGGTTGAGTTATTCTCGTCTCTTTCACATTCGGATCCGTAACCTTACCTAAAACAAAAGGCATTCTGATGCTTCCGCACCCGTGCTGCCTTGTCCATTCAGATTTCGGAATGCTCCTGTCTCACTGTTATTGGAGTCCCTAATTCCATCTATGACAAAGGCGTACCGCCGATCCCACGCCCCGTGCCATGTGTGCGCGATTTCATCCGCGGTGGCTCTGCGGCCTCAGGCGTGACCACGTAATTTTAATATCAGGTCACGGCGCTGCGGTGCGCGTCAGCTACGGGGGGAGTTCGCCCAATTTCCCCGACCGCAGGAAATCATGAAGCTTGATCCCATTAGGGGCTTCTGGATAAAAACCTGTCGGCCAGATGACCTCCCTTCCCGGCTCTACGTGGGGTGTGTGTGCGTTCGTGCGGGGGGGGGGGGGGGGGGGGGGGCGGCGAGGCGCGCCGCGTCGGCGTTGTCACCCCCCGGTGGTGGTGTCATGGCAGTGGGTACGGTCCCCGACAGAGCTGCTCCGCCGCGGTGGCACCACACAGCCCCCTGAGGTGCCAGTCCCCGTCCCGGGTTGACTGGAGCACCTCGCCTGGGTTGCCCCTACGAGGTAGCGCCGCGGGGTCCACGGGACTTGTCCGGCTCTCGTGGCTGGCATCGGCGGTGGTGGCTTCGTCTCTCGGGGTTCCGGTCGCGGTCTCCTCCACTCCAGTGGTTCTCTCCGGTCCTGGGTCCCTGCGGGCTGGGAGACAAACTCGGGGGCGGTAGGGTTCAGGGGCCGTCGTCCCCGTCTCTCCTGGCTCGGGTCGGGACCCCCTGGGGCCCGGGGCTCCGTGGGGCCCATATACTGTGCGAGGTCCCCGGGTATGGGGGGTGTGGGGACCCTGGGGTTTTGGGACTCTCGAACGGCGGGGTCCTCCCTCGCTGGGGCCGCACTCCATGGTTTTAGTCGCCGGACATTGACTACCATCTCCCGGCCCCTCTCCCCCCCTTGAATCAGTACCGTCCAGGGGGAGATCTGTCGCCCCATGGTCCAGGGTCCCCGCCAATAGGTGGTTAGCTTCCCTACCTGTCCGGCCACACCTTAGAGCCCGCCGAGAAAAAGGGGGGCTCTATTCGGGGTCGGGCGCCCTGCTCCTGCTGCTGGTGGGCGGCCTCGCCTTGCGGGTAGGCCCGGACCCTAGCTCCTTGTAGGATCTCCATCAGGTGCTCCATTGGGCGGCTCCCTTCCTCCCGTTGCGGCGGAGGGACACCGAACAGCAGATCTATGGGCAGGCGAGACTCGTGACCAAACATCATCAGGAACGGGGTCTGTCCCATAGATGTGTGTACCGTGGTGGCGTAGGCGAACAGGGATAGCGTGTGAAGTATTCTAACCGCTACGAGAATATATCGGTTTGCCCCGGTGGGAGTCGCGGGAATGGCCCTTGCAGGTCGATCCTAACCAGCTGATTTGTTCGACTGACGCGGAACGGTCTCAGGGGTAACCAGGTATCGCGCTGATTTCGGCCCGCATTGCTGACACGCGCGGCCAGCCCTGTACCCAGGCGGCCACGTCTTGTGCTAACTTGGGCCAGAGATACTGGCCACGCAGGGTCTCCCGAGTGCGCCTTTCCCCGTCATGGCCCCCGAGCACCTGTTCGTGCACCAGCCTTAGCAGCTGGGGTCGCACCTGGGCGGGAACACAGATGCACCCAGGCTGGCCGGCTTCGGTGAGCTCCCGCACTACCCTGTTCTGCACGCACAAACCGGGCATACAAACCACTCCAGGGTCCTGGTAGGGTGTCCTTCTTCTCCCGTAGGGCCGCTTCCACCGCCGAACAGATCTGGATCCCGCAGCTGGGTTCGTCTCAGCTGCTCGTCGTCCAGGCCCGGGAAGGCACAGCCGACGTCCTCCTGGATCCGATCAGGTGAGGTTAAGCGACCCGTCGGGCTCCGGGGTGTGGGCTCCGTGCCCGCCGGGTGGTCCTCCGGGTTCCTGGTTCCTCCTGCCGGGGTCTCTGTGGCACATACTGCACTCTCTCCCGCAAGGGGGGTTTAGTCTCAGCACGCCCCCGGGATCCCACTGCTTGCCG